TTGAGTAGAAATCATATTTGAAAATACACTAGATAACAATTTCCACAAACAATGACAATCAATAAGAAGCTTTATGATTGTATATTTAGAAAATCCAAAAGACTTTATAAATAAATTATTAGTGTTACTAAGTGAATTTAGCAAACTTATTGGATCCAAGTCAACATAGAGAAATCAGCTATATTTCTTGATGTCCTATTAAGGAATAGAATTTATACCTCACTATTTCCTTCAGAACCCTATTTGAATTTTTCCCCTTACCAACACCTACTTTCCCCTGCTCCCTGCTCTCTCTCCCTCCCTCCTCCTTTCCTCCCTTCCTTCCTTTCATTTATTTTCAATCTTCATCATTTGAAATGTATTAAAGAATGTTAAGCTTCTATGTGTGCAATTATTTACTCACATAATATGTGTTGATTGGATAATTGCTAAGATGGTATCTTAACCGAATTCTGATCGTCATCCTTAACCTTAGAGATTATTTTTAATCCTACTTAATTCTTAGAATAGTTAATTGAAAGGATCTTATATAATTTTAAATAAATTTTATTTATAATTGATCTCTTAGTAATTCCTGAGAATATTAGAGATATGATCCTTCCACTCACCTTCACTCAATAAGGTGAATTCTGGGACTCAAAAAAACAAAATCCCAGATAAACTGGATGATGCCAGAGGAAGGCAGTATCAGGTCTGTGTATATCCCAAAGCACTTTCTTAAGCACTAAATTTGGAAACATAACTATAATAAATCAAGTATGAATTAGGTGGTCAAATAGTTATTAAGAATTTGGAGAGAGCACACTGTGATTTTTTTAAAAAACACACTCAGCCGTTAAGGAACATTGCTTATTTTCATAACAAGGTTAAATTATACTTTACTCTCTTTGCTTTCCTTTCTTTTTCAATTTTCATAATGCTTCCTGTGCCAAAAAACTTCAGACCATCTATAGATTTCTAATCACTCAGTATATATAAATGTTTTGCATAAGTTGATATTAGGAAAACTGTAGAAAGTCTGAACAACAATGGATGTGGTAAAATGCTACCATATCAGAGTTTTACTTTTGCAAATGTTAATGACTTTGCCATTAAAAAGTACTGGGAGCACTAGTCTTAGGTTCCATGTGTTGTTAAAAGTTTTCCAGATGTCTGAGAAACATAATGCCATTCATGTGAATTCTTCTATAGTTAAGCCATCTGGTGCAGTGAAGTACCAGAAGCTTTACAATTATTCGTGATTCTATTACATAGAATGCCATTCATGTTATTGGAGAGTAAAGTGATATAACAGATATACTACTGGTAAATCTGAAAAAGTTCTCCCATAATGGAGAGAGACGTTGATGTTCCTATTAAGATGTTCTATCAGTTATTACTGTCCACATTCATCAACACAGTGATGTTATAAATGAGATGATACTCTAAATATCCACAATTTCATTGAAATTTGAATTCCACATATTTTGTAATATGGACATTTTATTGTACTATGACATATAAATTTATATCTTTTGGTAGAAATCATGGACTTACACATAACCTGTGGTGGTGTTACCAGAAAAAGATTGAGGAGTTGAGTGGGTCTTCAAAAACTTTATGAATTGTTTCATTCTAATAGCTTTAGCAACTTAGAAGGGACAAGAACATCAGAAAGCCAACACAGCTGGAATAAATAATACAAATATAACCTCCCTATTTTCTAACGTGTGTTTTCGCTGGCAAGAGGATGCCCTATAGTTGTTGGTAATTCTTATTTGCTTCTGTAATTGACATGGTCAGAGTAGGATTTAACATTCATTTATAAATCTTTACTGAGCATGTGAAATGTGCCGGGAGCTCTTTTAGCCACAGTGATGGTTACAAAGTCAATAAAGTATAATTCTACCTGTAAGGAGCCCACTTAAGTTTCACTATTGTTGCTGATCATTTCATTTGTTGGACTTCTGTTTGCTTGAAGCTTAACAGATATCTCTGAGGGAATAAACCTCCAGAATCAGGTGGTAGAAGATTCAAACTTCCATATTTTGTTAAAACACACATTTAATAAACATTTATGGCACACTTTTAATGTACAATTTCCAAGAATTAAAAAAGGAAAACAAATAAAAGAGAAAACAAAAGAGGAAAAATATCCTTAAGGTATTTTTGGGCTAGTGAAAATTATGGAAATTTAAACAAATTATGAAACAAAATAATAATAAGTATTACAATAGAGAAAGAGAGCTTATGTTTTGGGAGCCCGTTACAAGGAATGACTAATTCTGAAATGGTTTGGAGAAGATTTTCCAGAGTGAGAAATATTCGAGCCAGTTCTTAAAGAGTGACTTCATATGTGTTCTCAGCTCAGATAAGAATCATGTCTGTATATACAGAAAAATCAAACCTCTTCAGGAAGGTAGTGTATATATTGAACCGGATGATCATTTTCGGTGATATAAGAACAATATTAACTATGGCATAACAGAGCTTTTGAATTTGTACAGCAAAGTGGAAAGTGGTTGCTTAGCTTTATCCTCAAGAATGTTATTTAGAAGTTGCTTAAACCTCATGAGTTTTAAATCTTTTTAACATAAAAATATTTGGAAAAACCTGAGTACTCTGTTATATGCTTTTGTTAACACATTGATATGGGCTCAGAACAGAGCCATGACCTGCATTTTAAAAGTTATGACCTTTATCTTGGTGACCCCTTCAATCTCATAGCTTCTAAAGTAGTCAGCATACCCTCCATATCTCTGTGTACAACTAGTCAAATATCAGTAAGCTTTTATCTACATATACTTTAGATCCTTTGAACCAAAAACATAAAGTAGACATCATAATCATCTATAACCTTCTACTGAGAACATTTTTATGAGTAAGTCTCATAAAAGCCTGTGTGCTATGGATTGAGAATGCCAAGAGTATAAGGATATACTGGTCCCTACTCCTGAGGGATTTAAAATGTAGTTGAGGAGCTAGGATATTTACATTAAGAAAACAACTAGCATCTATAAAAGCAAACCTATACCTCTGTGACAAATGAATAGCATAGACTATAAGTACCATAGGATTTCAGGAAAGTATAAATCCATGAAAACTGAAGAAATAAGATAAGGTCTCCTGGCAGAATTAGAAAGATAGGATTTAGAAAAAAGAACCTGGAGTCCAAGTTTACTTGGCAAGGAAATTGTTTTGAGGGCCACAGGTAGAAATGAGTATTTATGTGTGTATGTTCAAGGAACCATGAGTAGACATGTTTGGCAATAGTAGAGAATCTGTGAAAAGTGCAATAGTATGAGAAAGATAGGTGCAGGCTACACTGTGGAAGCCTTTGAATGTTATCTTACATGTGGTAGAGACAAACAGAGCTTTGGAGCAGGGTGATGACATATCCAAAGTAGTATGTAGGGTAACTTGAAGCAGGGATTTGGATTTAGGGACCTATGTATCAAGTAAGAGATATAAAGACCAAAGCAGGGTGTTGTCTAGAGAACAAAAAAGAAGTCAGTGGGAGAGACGGTACAGAGATTCAGCAGTATCCCATACCTAGGCCTTTCCTTCTTCACTCATCTTTATCCAAAATGAAATTCTTTGACCTGTTTACTCGAGACCTGCTCTCTGCTAATATATTTGTGATGATATCTAGTCAATATACTTCTTTCATGGAAAAATGATTGCCTTTTGTTAAGTGTTGACAGAATGCAAAGAAGTGATACTAGCAGTAGAACTGCAGGCCTTGCGGCAAGTGTGGGAGTTAATTTTGAATTTAGATCACTAGGTCTATTTGCTTTGTGGGGTAGACTCTGGCATGGTAATTATCTTACTTGAAGGAACAGGACAACATAAAGACAATAGCACAATGTCTCAGAAAGGTGACAAATAATGCAAGGAAATACTAATAAACACAAACAATATATGAGTCTCTGTATCTTTCTCTTTTCTTTGTTTTGATAAAACTAAAATACTGGAAACAATGAATTTCAGTAAGAATTTATGAAATGAAAAAGAAGTTATGAAAGATTAAATTTCCATAAAATAAGTCATTATGGAACAAGAAAGAACAGCAAACAGACAAAATACATTTCATTTCAGAATGAATAAAGTGGAAAATAAAAATGCACAACCCTATCAAAAGAGAAATGTAAGACTGATTAAGCTACACACAAGATGTGTAACATCTATCTCATGCTTGAACGCTGCCATGCACGCCCTCTGGCAGCTGGATAAATATTGTTTAAACTTAACCAGTCCACCCTTTAAAAATACATTCAAGTTCTTGTCACAAGAAAAAAACATTTTTTGTAACCATATATGGAGGTGAATGTTGACTAGACTTATTGTGATGATCGCCTCTACAATATATACAAACATTGAATAATTATGTTGTACACCTGAAATATGTTATATACCTGTTATATGTTAATTAGACCTCAATTTAAAAAATATACTCATTTATATATCATTCAAATATAAATATGTATTTATGTGGTTGGAAAAAGAAACTATAGAGATCACATAGCCCAATGCCTTCAATTCACATATGAATAAATGGAGACTTGAAAGTTCAAGTGACTTGACTGAAATCACAAACTAGTTAGTGAAGGATACATTATTCGGGCTCCACATGTGGACCACTATAAAACAATCTCTCCCCATATCTTGTCTTTTATTGTTTCCTCTGATGATAATGTCCTGACCTTAACTCTCTACATTCAAGGTCAAGCTCTATATTTTATTTTCTTAAGAAAACCTTTCCTGACTATAGTAAACAGGATAATAGATCCCCAAGGATGCTCATGTCAAAATCTCCAGAACGTGTGAATATGCTTACATGGCAAAAGGCACTTTGAAGATGTGATCTGCTTGAGGATCTTGAGGTAAGGAGATTATCTTGAGTTATCTGGGTGGAATCCATGTAATCACAGGAGTCCTTTAAGTGTGGAAGAGGAAAGCAGAAGGAGTGTCAGAATGATGTAGCATGAGAAAGACTTGATCAGCTGTTGCTGTCTTTGAAGGTGCAAGACGGCCACGGACCAAAGAATATGGGAAGCATCCAGAAGTTGGAAGAGGGAAGATAAAGGATTGTCCTCTAAACCTACAGAAGGAACAGCCCTGTCATCACCTTGATTTTACCCTAGGGAGAACCATTTTGGACTTCTGACTTCTAGAACTGTAAGATAAAAAATGTGTGTAATTTTAGCTCACCGAGTTTGTGGTAATTTGTTACAGCAGCAATAGGAAACTAATATAATGACTCCTCTAGCTTTCTGGTCATTTAATCATACACAAGCTTTTCATTGTCTACTTTCATTCGTTTTTGTGTGTGTGTGTTTGAGGAAGATTACCCCTGAGCTAATATCTATTCCCAATCTTCCTCTTTTTGTTTGAGGAAGATTGTCACTGAGCTAACATCTGTGCCAGTCTTCCTCTATTTTATGTGGCCTGACAAGCGGTGCTAAGTCTGCACCCGGGATCCCAACCTGTGGACCCTGGGCTGCCGAAGCAGAGTGCGTGAATTTAACCTCTACACCACCAGGCTGACCCCTATTATCATTAGGTTTTAGTTCCAGTATCTTTATATAAGTAAGTAACAAGCTCTTTAAAGCTGATGCTCAGGCTGGCCTGGTGGCGCAGCAGTTAAGTTCACTCATTCTGCTTCTCTGCGGCAATTATTTTCTATATCACTATTACCCTAGCATGTAACAATTGCTACCATATATTGCTACTAATGTTTACACATGAATATTCTGTGTCTGCTAATGATGTAATATGTGTATGGATGTTATGCTATGTATGCTGGTAGATGTATGGAAAGAACTTTAGGTTGGTGATTAGAACTGGGTTTAAATTCTGAGTCTTATTTACTAGGTATATAAACTCAGGTCATTTAATTAACTTATGAATTAAAATGAGAACATTTACTCAATATGCAAAATAAGTGAAATACTGTGTGTGAAATCCTCTCTGTAGTACAGAGCCTGGTACCAGAATGTTTCAATAAATATTATTTTATTTTCTCTTTGAGGATTGAATATTATACTTCTTTTGATTTCTCACTCTCCCTTCTTGGGATAAGCCCCTAAAAGACTCTAAATAAATATTTTTTAAAAATTTAGAATTATGATATGTCTAATTAAGATAATAGAAATAAATCAAAGAAATCACCGTGGAACATATTTTAACATTAAAAAAGAAATAGTGGAAAGTCTATATTTTGTCAGCACTCAATTATTATATGTTCAGGGTCAGAAATACTTTGAAATTCTGATATTTTGTGCTTTTTCTCGACATATATTTCAAGACAGACAGTTTACATATGGCCTGGGAATAGAATGTTTAGAAAATCTGCTTTTTCATTTAATCCTTAAAAGAAATTGCATAGAATAAATATTTTTTAAAAATGTAGCTTTAAATGAAGAAGCAGAGAGATTAGGCATTTGATTTTAAAACATAATTCAAGGTTACCTTATAACTGATTTCTATTTCTAGTTCCTCCCCAGTCTAACCTACCTTAGAACAGCCTTGCTAGGTTAAAACTAAAGTTCTTTTCTCCTAATTGTACTTCTATGTTAAAGAATTTCTAATGATTTCCCATTATTTATAGAGTTAAAACCAAACTTCTCTGCTTAGAACTCAACATCCTCCATATTTAGATCCCCAATTAACCTTTCTAGGCATATTTACTACAATTCTACTATGAAATGTACATATTGTAGGGTGTGCTCTATGCAGCAGCCAAGTGACCTCTTTTCTTTCCCCAATTCAGAAATTTTCTGCCTCTATAACGTTTGTAATGTTGCTCTCCCCAGTTGAAGTATTTATCTCTTTTCTTCCCCAGAATCAATGGAAACAAATTCCATTTCTTCCCTGACTACTTTGAGATGAGATTTATACCTCATTTGTAGTTCCATAAAATCTAAATATCTATCTTGTAGGTGTCATATTCTCCCCTATATTAAAGGTGTTACTAATTTTTCCTTACCACCCCTACTCCACTGCGTATTTGCCTAAAATAATTGAAGTGAAGAACTTATCTTTGTTGTCTCCTTCAGTACACAGTATAGCACCTTACTCAGAGATGTAGTCTGATGTAGTTTAGGATCCATGAATAAAGCTTTAATGGACACAGCCACATTTATTTGTTTATGTGTTGTCTACAGCTGCTTTCCCTCTATAGTGAGCAGAGTTGAGTAATTGCAGTAAAGGTTGCATGGGCTACAAAAGCTAAAATATTTATTATATGGCCCTTTCAGCAAAAGGTTGCCTGTCTGATATAGATAGTTTGCCTGATATAGATATTTCTGATTTAGCCAAGAAAGTAAGGTGGAGGTGTTTTAGCAGCAATAGTAGCACAGTGGAGTCAGCATTACCAGGTCATTATAGAATATTTCCTATGGACATGCATTCCTGGCACCATGATTGGAAATGCTTAGTCCTCTTCAAATTCCGTAAGGTCATCCTGCAAGTCATAGTTTTTTCTAGCTCTTTTTCATGCAATTATTGGTCACTTTGTCTCTCATATAGCAATGTTTATAATACACTTTATGATGCCAAAGGACTTCCCCCATTCCCTACCTGCCTGCTGCTTTATACTTTATTTCACTCTTCCTTAAAGAGCTTTGAAAAGGGTTAACATTTGAATTTTTACCATCTATGTGATACTGTTGTCTTTTATTTTTCAATGAGTCTAATACCATTACCTTTGCACCTGCTGTCAGATCTTAAAAATCAAAACTGTTTGCTACAACACACACACACACACACACACACACACACACACTGCACACTCCCAGAACTAAAGTCCACTTTGGGTGGAAATCACAGATTGAAGAATATATTCAACTCAGGATAATATCATAGAATGAGTCACTGACTGAGAGTTTTTAAAATAAGGTGAATTAAATCTCACTGGCCAAAAAGTGAACTGTGCGGTACAGCCTGTCACAATAGTTCTCATTGTCTAGTTAAATATACCAGGCCTTAATATATTGGAAAAAATACCTGATACATGTGTATTGGAAACTGTAATGCAGTAGATTGTCAGGTATAATTTTTTATCCATTCTACAAATATTATGTACCTCCTATGTCCCAAGAGAAGTTCTTGGCACAGTTCTTGATGAAGTCTCTGCTTTTAGGGAGTTTTCATTAACTGCTTGAGGGAAGTGATAAAAATAAACAACACACGTAAAATATATATTATGTTGGATATTAATTAGTGAGTGATGACTAAAACTTTGGAAGATGGAGAGTTGTGGGGATGCTATTTTAGATATGGCAGTTAAGGAAGGCTTTTCTCTAAGGAGATAAGAGATTTACAAATATCCGAATGATGTGACTGAGGAAATCATCCCAATTTCTGAGGGAATGGCATTTTAAGCATAAGGAACAGCAACTAGAAAGGTTCTGCAGTATAGAGTTTCAAAGAACAGAATGAAAAGCAGTAGAGCTGGAACAAAGTGAGAGAGTGTGTAGCAGTAGGAAATGACTTTAAAGAAGTAATCAGAAAATCTATTACACAGGGCCTTGAAAGCTATAATAGCAGAAAAATATTTTGATCTACCTGTGACAGGAAACAATTTGAAGATTTAGAACAGGGATACATTTGATCCATTCTGATTCATGAGCATCTTTCTGGCTGCTCTGTGGATAATAGCTCACAGGAGGCAAGAGTGGAGCAGGGACACCCATAAGGAAGGCACTGCAGTAGATTAGATAAGAGATGATGTTGGCTTGGGCCATCAGTATAGTGGTAAGAAATAACTGGATTTTGAATACATAGCATTTTGAAGTTGGAATCAACAGATTTACTGATGCTTTGGATAGAGTGTGTGAGAATCAGAAAGGGATGGTACTGCAGGTTTATTTTTATTTTCTTCCTGAGCAACTGAGTGATGGTAGTGCCATTTACTGAGCTAGAAACCACCAAGTGAGAAGCAGATTTGCTGGGAGTGCAAATTGAAAGTTCTATTTTTACCATGTGAATTTTGAGATGCCTTTTCGATTCAAATGGAGATATTGAATAAGCAGTTGGATATTGGGTATGACATTCAGAAAAGAGGAAGGACAGGAGATATACATTCGAGAGTTAACATGAAGTGTATATTTGAGGATATGGCTAGATGGGATCACTTACAGAGAGAGTGTAGAGAAGGAAGAATAAAGAACCAAAGACTGAGTGCTGCCACATTCCTGCATTAAAATATCAAGAAGGTGAGAAGACATCAAAAATTGAGACTGTGAAGGAGTGATAGTGAATAAGTGAGTGTGTGTAGTCTTAGAATTCATGGGAAGAAAAATTTCTTTTGAAAAGGAAAAAGGGATCAATTGTCTTAACTAGATTAAATAAGATATATGTACATATAATCATATATACTCTCTCTTCATGAGGTATTTCAGAGGTAGGTAACTTTATAATAAATCAATACTGAGCAGGATATCTTTGAATAAGACACACCCCAAAATTTTATCTGGCTCTCACAAGGTGCTTTAAATTGATACAAATTTAGTTTTGTCACTTAGTTTCTGGAGAGTAGAGAGTGCACTTTGAAAAGTTCTAAGCAACACCAAAGAAGTTAATTTTGTCAATAAGGAATGGTATGAGATTAAGAAGGTATTTGGCCAAGGATGCAAATCTTCTCCTTAATCATACATTTCTACATGTGTGGTCACTCAGAGAAATATTCCCAAAGGATAATGGTCAGCAAAACAATGCTTTATATAAATATTCAACTTTGATGACGAAACCTTGTGTAGGACTCTAGTGAGTTTCACTAGATAAAATAGAGGCTTTCTTTGACATAGGCTACAGGCAATCCAGAATCTAGAAGGGAAACACCTACCTGTGTCTTGAATAGCACTACCCAAAACAAGGAAGGTCTATTTTAAGTAATGCCAGCTAGTGAGGAGGCCTTGAACTTTCTTAGCTGCTTGGAAGCAGGTTAGTCCTGAGACAGAGAGAGTGTTTTCTTGGTCTTCCCTCAAGAAGAATGAGATCATGAGACATAGATTGTTTTTTCTGATTCCTTGGAGAAAGCCCATCCAAAGGGAGACAGAACAGATAAAAGAGATATGCAGAGCTTTCTCCCCAGAAAGAGCAGTTTTGTTCCCCTTTATACTTTGGACCCAGAGCACTTTCTCACTCTCAACTGTACACTAGAGCATTTCTCCTCCCTAGAAACATAGGTAAGCTGTGGAGAGTGGAGGGAAGATATATTAGCACCATCATCATACACATTTCATTCAACCATATCTAGTCTCCCATCCAGGGCTCAACTTGTTGGTCTGATACTGCACTGAGTGTACAACATTTATAAGTGTCTGTAATTTTCCCAGGGTGTGCTCTGCTAAGTGAATAGCAAGCCAACTAT